CGTTATAAGTAACGCGTTACTTCCCAACCCTGCATAATTATTATATTGTTGAGGGAAATTATAACATTGATGTTACACGTTACTGTTGGTTAGTGTTTGCTAAATTAATATATTTTTTAGTCTTATATACTATTTTATTGTTTCTATTGTTTCAGTTAAAAATGTCAATTTCACTGCGTTTGATATGTCGGGTCACGACCGTCATAGATCACTGTGGGAGCACTATTATAAAGATTGCCATGGAATTATCTTTATAATTGACAGTAGTGACAAACTCCGACTGGTTGTTGTGAAAGAAGAATTGGACATGCTCTTGCAACATCCTGACGTAGCAGGTATGTTATTTTCATTATGAATATAATTAAAATATATGGACTTCATTAATACTGACAACAAAAATTTAGATAAAGTAAGAAAAAAAGAATTAGAAGTTATTTTATTTAGAGTTAGAAGTAAGAAATTTATATTCAGAATCCTACATATTTCCTAAAGATTTCTAAATTACATTTTGTAATGTTTGTCGTCTTTGAATAATTGCAAGAAATTAGTGTGAAAACAAAGCAAATGTTTTAGGACGCAAGATACCCATCCTCTTCCTGGCGAACAAGATGGACTTGCCTGATTCCTTGACTACTGTGAAATTAGTCGCCGGACTAGGACTTGAGCGGATACAAAACAAGCCTTGGCACATACGAGCTACAAACGCATTGACCGGCGAAGGCTTGCAGCCTGCAATTGAATGGCTAACAGATCAAATTCGTGATATATACATTAATAAAAGATAAATTTCACGTGGTGACTGGCTCGACATCGATGTTTTTACGAAGATCATCGTGTCATAAAATCGACATTAATACAGAGTGCCTACGGTGTCATTTATATTAATTACACAATGAGCCAGTGTTTCCCACAAATAGCATTTTTTTAAATAAGATTCTATATGACAAAAATAATATTCTGCGCTAGAAAATATCATAAATAATATAAAAAATATTTAATTATAAGTTTTGTGATAGTGATTCATGTTTGAATTGCAGAAATTTCGCAGTAAGGTTTATTTAAGGAACATCGCTACAACTCAATTCCGTCCAGAAAAATGCGTAGAAAAGTTGAAATATGAATGTATATATAAAATATACATATTGAAATTATTAATTATGTTATTTTAAAGATTATAGTAACATTTTCATAATTTGCTCTAAGCAGAGATATTGTATTGTAATATTGGCAATAAATGTTAACCAATTGCAACTCAAGATGAAGTTCGCCGCGATCGTTTTGGCGCGAATCATATTACTATTCTTCAATACGCACGAGTCAAAAGGTATCTTTTCATGCGTCTTATCGCTCATTTTCAGCGATAAAAAAGTCACGTGACTAGCTATTGAATATGAAAATAACTTCCAGCGATTTAGTAGGATGACAAATTCCATTACATATACAACAGTAGGTCTGTTCTTTATAGCTGAACTGGCTGCACTAGTTCAGAGTTTATCTTTCTCCTTCCAATGTGAAGGGAAAAAGATAACCTCTGAACTAGTGCAGCCAGTTCAGCTATAAAGAATAAACCTCAAGTATACAGTTATATACAGTTTATATAAAATATAATGTCACAAAAAAAGTATAATTGGATGATGGAGTGTACATAAATTATTAATGAAACTAATATGAAGGAAAAGAGAAGAAGATTATTAGTATTGTCGGTAGTTCTTTATTTGCAAGAAAAACAGAAAAAACATTACAAAAGAAAATGTTTTTGGGTAAATCCATTATTTCAAATAAGAGACCCACACGGAACAAAAACCTCTAATGGATATCCACTAGATGTCCATCATGGAGATTCGAAACCTCTATTAGATATCTATGTAATCTCCTATAGATGTCTACTAGCCATCGACAGTTCCGCATTACATACCTCCATTCGACATCCATTAAATATATTCATAGATATCATATGGAGCAATCATAGATGTTCTATAGATATTTAATAGAGCTTTGATGGATTGTAGTTTTAATTCGTCATTAATAAAATTATTTGGAAGTAAAGTCACAAATATGATTGCGAGATAGTCTTGTTTA